TGTGTAGCAGCGATCGAGCTACAAGCACAAGTGTCAGCACCAGAAAGGTTGGCTATTAATATTCCTCCACCAACACAAACGAAAAGGAAACGAAGGGAAAATGAAAATTTTATATTTTAAAATATATACAATCAAACACGCATATGTATATATGCACCGAACTTTTCCCTTTAAAATCATTTAAGAGATTTATGCCACATCGCTAAATTCTTATCGAAAGCATACATGTACATGTGTAATTATGATCGTCCAATAAACCCAAGAGAACAGTGAATGAAGATAAAATGTGTAAGGCAAATTTTGCTACAAGACACTTGTTATGTGAGATTTTAGCCCTAGGACACTACCTAAACTTATTTTTGTGGGAAAACACTCCATAAACATGGTAATTTGCCAGTGGAATGTCGAAAATGCCCTTGGGCCCACATGTCAGCTCTATCTCATATCTCTCTTTCCTCTCTCAAAGCGCCTCCACACCGCCTTCGAGGAGCACGGCGGCTACCCACGATGCCGCCATCGCCTCCCTCCTCCCCGTTGTCGTTCGAGTCCGACTCGCAGTCGGAGTCCGGGTCGTCGCCCTCGCCCTTCCACGCTGTCCGCGGCCACCACCCGCCGCCGTCCTACCGAAAGACGAAGCAGAGCAGCGAGGCGCGCGCGCGAGCGGTTCCCCTCTCCTCCTCATCCGGAATGGCGAGCGCGGCGGCGGTCGTCAGATCCGCGTCCGCCACGTCGGCGTTGGCGTCCGCCACCGGCTTGGGCGGAAGAAGCAGCTCCGCGGCGGCCTCGCGGTAGTCAACGGGCTCGGGCAGTAGCAGCACCGCTTGCGGCGGGAGGTCGGCAGGGCGGCGCGCCGGGGCCGGGGCCATGAGGAGGAAGCAGACAGCGGCGGCGAGGGCGAGGGCGGCACCAGCGGGAGCCATGCTTTGCTCTTGTGATTAGTAGTAATACTAGTATTTGTGGATTTGCTCTTGTGATTAGTACTCTCAAGCCGACGCTGCCGCTCCGCCGACCGCCGTCCTCGCCATCTCCGCCGCGACCGACGCCACCCGTGCAAGCGCACTCCGAGAGAGAAGAGAGAGATGAGGAGAGAGACATGAGATAGAGCTGACATGTGGGCCAAGGGCATTTTTGACATTTCACGCGATTTCTCTCTCCTCCCCAACTGGAAAGTATTATTTTAATCGGCGCGGTGTCCACTGACAAATTACTACATTTATGGAGTGTTTTCCCTGAAAAGTGAATTTGGGCAGTGTCCTAGAGCTAAAACCACACATAACAAGTGTCCTGTAGCAAAATTTGCCAATGTGTAATGTATGAGCGTCATTCTCCTAAGCGCGGAGAGCCAGCAGCCTATAATGTCTACTTTTCATATATTTTACATCATGATTTAACCTTTTTATAAGCTCAAGCTATATGGTTATAAGGAAATTACATGTTTCCTTCATTGTCGACTATTCACCCCAATGAGAACCACTTCTTCTTAGATAAGCTTGGCCACATTACAGGTCCTTTCTTGTTCAATAAGACAATTGACCACTTTCCTAGCTCTTACGTGCCTCGCTCAGTTGATATGGTTTTCGCTCAACCGAAGTTGTCTTCTCCTATCTATCAAAGTTCTTGTCATGTAAGGCTGTGTTTAGTTCCCAAAAAAAGTTAAAAGTTTGGAAAAAGTTGGTAGTTTGAAAAAAAAAGTTGGGAGTTTATGTGGGAAGGAAATTGATTAAAATCGGGCGACCGGGGGGAGGTGGGAAAAATCGGTCGCTCCCCCTCCCCCCATGCGCGCGCTCCCCTCTCCCCATCTGGACCCACCCACTTATCCCTCCCCTTTTCCACAAAATATGTTTCACCAAGTGTACTTATAATGTTTCACTATGTATAGATATAATATTGCAGTGAACTGAAATAATCTATTGTAACAAAAAAGCCCACATATTTTGGAAACCCAATATTAAGGGAATTTGGTTTATTTTTTGTTCCACCGAAAAATGTTTCACCTAGTGTACTCACAATGTTTCATTATGTAAAGATCTAATGTTGCAGTGAACGAAACATTCCATTGCAACAAAGAAACCACATATTTTGGAAACCCCCTATTAAAGGAATTTGGTTTATTTTTTGTTCCACCAAAAATTGTTTCACCAAGTGTACTCACAATGTTTCACTATGTATAGATCTAATGTTGCAGTGAACTGAAACATTCTTCCGCTATTTGAAACATTCTTTCGCTATTTGTTGAAACATCGTTTTTATATAAGGTGAAACAACACCCAATTTAACCGAGTGAAACATTTTCGATCTACTTAATGAAACAATTCCGATATACCTGGTGGAACATCGTTCAACATTTAAAAATAATTCAATAATAAGCTAATTTTTTTCGTCGGAATATATCCATATGTGGTCTTGTTTTGAAGATTTAATTGCAACGAATTTAATGGTGCAATCGGATCATGATTTGGATAAGTAATTTAGGAGAAAAATCGGTTTAAATTAGTTTTGCACGTAAATCGGGCGCTGACGTCCCAAATTTTCTTGAAATTGTCGGGCGCCCGAGCCTTAGGTAGCCCCGTTTATGTGTGTAGGAAAGTTTTGAATATGATATGATGTGATGTGATGTGATGGAAAGTTGAAAGTTGAGGGTGAACTAAACACGGCCTAAGCGGAGTTCTCTTTGCCTGTCGAGTGATGTTATTGTTGGTCTTGATCAGAAGCTATCTTCAACCATCTGATGCGGTCTCTTCATCTGGTAGAAGGAGTTTTGCCTATTGATCGAAAGAGTTGGAGACATTAATGATTGTGTACAACAAGTTTTAAACATGAGAACATTCTTTATTTACCATCTAAAAATTTGATTGATTCTCCCGTTTGTCCTCGTAAAATTGGCTCCCTCTAATACACCTCTTCCTCAGCTTTTAGGGAGCGCCTATGGATCGGGCGACCGATCCGGGGCTAGGAAATCGGGCGCTGACGTCAGCATGACGTCAGCGTCCGATTTACGTGCAAAACAATTTTAAACCGATTTTTCTCTTAAATTACTTATCCAAATCATGATCCAATTGCAACATTAAATTCGTTGCAATTAAATCTTCAAAACAAGACCATAGATGGATATATTCCGACGAAAAAAAATTAACTTATTATTGATTTTTTTTAAATGTTGCTCGATGTTTCACCAAGTATATCGGAATTGTCTCACTAAGTAGATCGAAAATATTTCACTCGTTTAAATCGGGTGTTGTTTCACCTTATATAAAAACAATGTTTTAGCAAATAACGACTATACATAGTAAAACATTATGACTACACTAGGTGAAACATTTTTCGGTGGAACAAAAAATAAACCAAATTCCCTTAATAGGGGGTTTCTAAAATATGTGGGTTTTTTTGTTGTAATGGAATATTTCGCTCACTGCAACATTAGATCTATACATAGTGAAACATTGTGAGTACACTAGGTGAAACATTTTTGATGGAACAAAAAATAAACCAAATTTCCTTAATAGAGAGTTTCCAAAATATGTGGTTTTTTGTTGCAAAAAAGTATTTTAATTTATTGCAACATTAGATCTATAAATAGTGAAACATTGTAAATACACTAGGTGAAACATCTTTTTATGGAAAAAGGGGGAAGAAGTAGGTGGACCCACGTGGGGGAGGGGCGCGTGCGGGGGGAGCGCCCGATCCGGCTCCCCCCGCGCCGGTCGCCCGGCGACAAGCATTTCCGCAGCTTTTATCCTTTGTTTGTAATTTCCATTGGGGTTATGTCAACCCACGGTTAGTAGGTGGGTGAAAAGATAATCTTTCCCTTTATTTGTTTTATGCATGATCCGCAAATTTTATATTTTCTTTTGAGGATCGTTTTTTATACTTGTTTATTATGCATTGATGATTGAATATCTCTCAAGAACCTAAATGCAATTTTAGTAATGGAGTGAAATGCAAAATCCTTTAAATGTAGTATGTTGCATTTGTCTTGGTGGAAACCGGTCCAAATTTCAATATTTTCCGGCTTGTTGAAAACACAAACCGCTTGGTTTTCGGTCTAGTTCAAAAATTTTCAAACTGAATTTTAAGTTTTGACATGATTTATCTTGATTTCATTTTCTTTTTGTTATCAACTGTTTTTACAAAATCCAAAGATACCACTCGTGAGAGGTTTTGATCCAATATCAAAATTGCGAATCCCAACTCCCGGAGTGGAATGAAATCATGCATCAATAATTCCATCAAGGTGCTAAAGGTGTGCATTGTGCTTTCCTATAAATCATTTTTTTTGAACGAATTATAAATCATTTTTTCAATCGATCACTAATGTACCGGAAGTGTTCTCACCTAGACGCTCAAAGGCAACTCGTCACCAAGAAAGCCATCAGAGTTAAACATGTAGTCATTCCAAGAGAGACGGAGTATAACAAATATAGTACCTCATCTGTCTCAAAAAAGAAATTTTACATGGATGTGATAGTATTTGCTAGTACTAGGAAGTGTTATATCCCTTCAAAATCTCTTATACTCCCTCCGTTTCTAAATATTTGATACCGTTGACTTTTTAGCACATGTTTGACCATTCATCTTATAAGAAAAAACTTTTGTGAAATATGAAAAACTATATGTATACATAAAAGTATTTAATAATAAATCAAATGATAGGAAAAGAATTAATAATTACTTAAATTTTTTAAATAAGACGAACGGTCAAACATATTTAAAATAATCAACGGCGTCGAATATTTAGAAAGTAGTATTTAGCAATAGCTTAGTGCATTGGCTTTAATGAACAGATTCGATGAAAAACAATTCACAAACAAGTGCGTTTTCCAGATGTCCCATATTGATGACAAACCCGCACACCCATGAATTGAGTCCCAAGAGTTCATCGCAGACTTGCAATGAAACCTGCCACTAACATCGAGGCAGTTCAATCGCAAAAAAACAACGCGGCTGCAGAGGTCCTCAAAACCCGTGGTGATTCTCACCCAGTCGCTCTCACCCATTCGCATTCTCCCCGCACTATTCCCCGCCTTGTTTCCCTCTTTCCACGTCGCGAGAGGCCTCTGCGCCCCATCCGCTCATCATAAAAACCCACCACTCCCACTGCTTTCCCTCCCACCTCACCACACACCACGCCACTCGCCTCGCCTCGCACAGTCGCTCGCTCGCCCGCTCTAGCTAGCTCACAGCTCGCTCACTCGCTCTCCTCTTCCAACCAACTCCACCACCACCACCAGTCCACCACAGCGCGCGGCGCCATGGACGACTCGTCGTTCGGTTCCGAGCCGACCACGTCCTCCTCGGGCGGGGAGGCGCCGGCCTCCCCGCCGTCCACCGCGTCGTCGTCCTCAGACGGCGCCGGCGGCAAGAAGAAGCGGCCGCGCAAGGACGGGCACCACCCGACGTACCGCGGGGTGCGCATGCGGAGCTGGGGCAAGTGGGTGTCGGAGATCAGGGAGCCGCGGAAGAAGTCGCGCATCTGGCTGGGCACCTTCGCCACCGCCGAGATGGCCGCGCGCGCGCACGACGTCGCCGCGCTCGCCATCAAGGGCCGCGCCGCGCACCTCAACTTCCCGGACCTCGCCCACGAGCTGCCGCGCCCGGCCACCGCGGCGCCCAAGGACGTCCAGGCCGCAGCCGCGCTCGCCGCCGCCGCCGACTTCCCGGCCTCCTCCGCCAATGCGGGCGCCAGCAATAACCCCGACGGATCGGACGACGCGAGCGCCGGGTCCGCCTCGCCGCCCCCGCCGCCGGACGCCGCTGACGACGCGCTGTTCGACCTCCCCGACCTCCTCCTCGACCTCAGATACGGCCCGCCCAGCTCGGGCCTCTCGTGCGCGTCGTCTTGGGAAGACGAAGTGGGCTTAATCTCCGGCGCCGGTGCCGCCGCCGCCGGCGTGTTCCGCCTGGAGGAGCCACTTCTGTGGGAGTACTAAAAGCCAAAGCGCCGCCGGTAAAACACTCGTCAGTGCTAAAATCGAGCAGCCTGCATGTACAACCCGTAATTTTCCACGCATGACCAAAAGAATTCATGCATGCAAGCCAGCTACGGCCTACGGCGCACAGAAACTTGAGCCAAAAAATCAGCGTCGTTTTGTCCTGCGTTTGCGTCGCCAAATTTGGGAAGCAGACCATGTATAAAAAATCATCCTTCTTTTCCTTCAGTCTCTCCTTCCTTTGCTTGGATTGTGGGGCAAGAATATGTGTCCGGTTAATTAATTTATCAGCGCATCTCCTTTTCCTCCGGGGGTCATCCTATATTTTTTCTATCTTTAGCGGGTAGTGCTAAAGGTGATGATCTACCCGGGATTTGGACCTAATGTGACACGAAAGAAAGTCTCTAAATAAAGATCGATGCTGCATGCATTTGCCCGCACCTTTGAAATTACGGCAAGGTTCGATCGATCCGGGCCCCTCCACTTCGTCCCATCCCAAAGCGCGAACAATCACGGCAGTTGTAATTAACCTTGTTCCGGCACAGACAGAGAGAGCCAGTCACTTCCTTTCTCTCTGCAGCCGCACGGAAACAAAAACACAACGGATAATTCGATCTGCGGCGTGTGCGAGAAACGCACGAAAGATGGGGGTGTAGTACGCTGAGGCGTACGTTGACGCGGACGGCCATGCGTGGCGCCACGCCCCGCACCGGCCGGGACACGGACATGCAGGCAGCGTCGCAGCGAGGACAGCGGGGTGGTTGCGCGCATAAATATGGCCGGGCCGCGCGGACAGTGAGACGACGGGCGACGCCGCGCGCGGGGGGGATAAGGCGAGATCCCATCGCCCAATCGATCGATCGGTGAAGCCAACGCCCCTGTACTCGCGACCCTGATCTCCCTCCGTCTCCGCCCATGTCGTAACGCATTCGTCATTTCGTCTTGGGCTTGTTTTTAGGGATGCTTCAGCTTTATACCAGCTCGAGTTTTTTTTCCCAAAATTAAAAGAATTTTTAGATATATTTGTGTGTTCTTAGAATTTTAAACTCTTTCAAACAGAAGCTTGGACTCGTGGTGCGTAGCTGTGTGACTGTGTTGATACATGCGCACGAGCAAGGGCATGGAGGTGATGCGGTGATGCTGCTACTACTGTTCTGGGGGAACGGAGGGATGGGAGTCGTTATTTTTCTTCAAAGGGACCTCGTTTTCATGTGATACGTACTATACGCGCGCGCGTGCCTACTCTTCTGGGGGGAACGGAGGGATGGGAGTCAAGATGGGTTGCTTGTGGTCATCCGTGTTACCGGTAGTGGGAAGTTGGGATCCTTGTTTCAGGGGTTAACTCCGGTGAGCCCGTTGTTTGTTTCTCCTTGAGAATGAAGCTTCTAAACCGCGTGCTTTAATTCGTGATTTTCATTGTCATGGCTGATTAGGTACGATTTTCCTGATTTGAAGTAAAGCCTTGAATACACATCTTATCCATCATCATCATACACATCGGTACGGCCTTAAATACATGTTTTCGTGAGGAATCATGAAAACCACCCGTTTGATTTCCACTTTTTTTTGTTACTCTCAACAATTTCTTTCATTTTTAGTTTGTTACTGATTTCCAATTATCGTTCTATATTTATTTCTCTCTCTTCACATGTTTATCTTTTCAGCAAAAAAGCAAGTTTGTTTTTTTTTCCCAAAGCAGCCCACTCCCTACGTGATAGCCATTCGCCAAATCCATCCTACCCATAAGCGGCATCCGTAATCTCACTTCGTGACAAGACCATTTGTACGTAAAGTTGGCAAATTTTTAATTGAATTGGCTCTGCTGTTCACACAAATCACAACCAGTAATAGGCAGCTGTCTGATCCCCATTACCAGGACACCCCAAATTATAGATGAAAAAAGCGTCTTTTTTCTGGGTAATTAATTAGGACTGTTAGTAAGATGGACGTCCAACAATCCACATGTGGATCACACCCGGAGATGAAGTGAGTTGTACACCCGTACCCTTGGCACCTTCGCCAGCACCAGAGGGTTCAGGTCACTATCAGCCATTAAACAAAGCTTTTCTTTTCAGTAAGCTTGAAAGACACAATAATGAACTTGTCTACCAACATAACGTGTTAGGAGTAATTTGCTTCACTTCTGGCGATAGCACAAGAAATGTGGAGTATGGCTTCCTTGGCCAATTTTTTTTAAAGTATACGCACACACATTTAAAGTATTAAACATAGATTAATAATAAAATAAATTATAGATTCCGCCTGTAAACTAGAGGCGAATTTATTAAGCCTAATTTATTCATCATTAGTAAATGCTTATTGTAGCATCACATTGTCAAATCATGACGTAATTAGGCTCAAAAGATTCATCTCATAATTTACATGCAAACTGTGCAATTGGTTTTTTTTCGTCCACGTTTAATACTTTATATATGGGTCCAAACATTCGATATGACGTTTTTGGCAAGAAAAAATATTAAATCTAAACACGGCCTATGGCCTTAATAAATTTAATCATCCCCACGACAGTTCATTTAAAGCTTTGTAAATTGGGTAAATTACACTTTATACCGGGTAATGTGCCTTGTTACCTTTTTATCACATATATTTCACTTCACACTAGAGTTTATTGATTTAACTTTCACTTAACACCAGGATACATAATCATCACACACACACACACACACACACACACACACACACACACACACACACACACACACACACACACACACATATATATATATATATATATATATATATATATATATATATATGAAAGGGCTTTCATGATATTTCATTATTTTAATAAATCCCTTTCAAATATTGTCTAAATTCAAAAGGGTTTTGAAAGTTTTACACATATTTTACAATATTTTCCCTTCAATTATATGATACAACACCTAGTGTGAGGTACAATTTATTTCAATGTAAAAATATGTATTAAATCCGGTGCAAAGCAAACCAAGGTTCACTCTATCCAGTGCAATATGCAATTTACTTAAAAAAAACCTACCAATGCGTTTCATATATCGTGTTAAAATAAATAAATTGATAAAGCTACCTTAACAAAGCTTTGGATAAAATATTTTAAATGCCCATAAGAAATCTATGGTTTGATTTAAATTCTACTCATGCACCCTACTACCATTAGTGGTAGAAGGTACTGAAGAGTGTTGGTCAATTTGAAAGATAACTGTAAAAGTGCCAAAATAGCTTACAGTATCTCGAAATTGAAACTCCAACAATTTGAATTGCGTTGAATTATCTACTTACACAATTAGTCTGGTTTGTAGAATATTTTTTCTTCACCTGGTTTTGTAGAATTTCTAGTGTTGTGTAGTACTTCTACAAGAAAACACGATGCTTGTTCTACGTAGCTCCACCTACCATGTGGGCCTCATGGGGCCGGCGAACAATGGTACGACTCATATATGGGCTACAAGTAACAAAGGTCTGCCCAAACGTCTTTTTTGTAGAGACCCTCTTTTTAGAACAATAATTTTTTCTAGAGACTAGAGGTGTTATTTGCACCCGTTGCACCGGGGCCAAACATATGCGTGGTGTACAACTGGACATCTCTCCTAGGCCTCCGAGAAGCATAGCCGGTGGCTTGAGGTGCTGAGCTGAGTCTGAATAGAATCACTTTCATTTCTTTCATTCTTTTCACGAGATCACGATTAAATCCTTCAGCAGCCAGCCTAGTAGGGTATGGGTAGACAGACCAGCCGTACCTCCGTTTGCTAGCTGCAGCCGAGGGGTGAGAGACCAAGGAATGGCCAAAAGTGCTCGTCATATAATGTGTGGCAGATCGTATCGCACCATTTTATGATGAGACGGAGTAGGTGACCTTCAATAAGTAGCTGCGCAACATTACATTTTTTTTATGTTTTCGTTCTTTTAAAAAAAACTTATTTATATTATGTCGTGACATTAGGTCACGAATAAGTTTGGAGATAAACAGGAAAGTTTCTTTTCTCGCCTATCCAAAGAAATGAGCTCAAATACAAAATACAGAACTTTGATGGCTAATGTTTCTCTAGTAGTATTAAATTATGTCTTGTCTTGCTACATGCTTTTGATCGGCTTATATACCCCACAATCGTACATGTGAGATTACAACTTTGCCCCCATGGGCCCTTGTGAGTTTAAAATTATACTCTTGCCATGTCAGCAACCCTAGATGTATTATGGTACATTGTAGAGGTCATTATGGTCTTTTGGCACTAGCTGGCATGAGTGTTTGAAAACTGGTCTCTATGGAATCTTCTTTTGGCATCTTTCTTGGTTGAGTAGCTTTTTCTCTCGAGTCATTAGGTTGAGTCGTCTTTTCCATCTTTGTTCATATTTTTCAACATGAGTCGTTTTTTCATCTTGGGTCGTCTTTCCATCTTGAGATTTCGAACACTCCTTCTCACTTATATGGCTCTCGGAATTTACTTTTTACTGGTTAGAAACACACTCAAACGGGACGAGTTGCTTCAATAGCATAAAACCACTCGAATAGAACTTTCCACTCGAATAGTACTTTACCGTTCGAGTAGTATTATACTGCTCTCACCGCTAAAATAGTATTTTACCATTTGAACACTTGAAAATCTCAAGACCTTCTTCTCTTTAGTGTTTTGGCTGAACAGAAAGGATGGTGTTAGTCCCCTGCAAGTACATATTATATAAATAGATCCCTATAAAAACTTATTATAAGATGAGATCATTTTCTTGAAGTCAATGACCCTAGTATTGAGGTTCAATGTCCTAGTGCCAACACCCTCACCCCTAGAAGCCGAGATGTAAAGGAGTTGGAGACAAAGATGTTAACGTCGATGACCTATTTATATTTTTTAAAGAAAGGTTGAAATATAACCTTTTTATCACAAATAAGTCCTCAAAGGCAAAGAGACTATCACATGGTGTCTATTTATAAGAAAAAAAATTAGAATATCTATTATTATATTAAAGGAATAGAAAAATGAGCCACCACGTTCACTCTTATGGACTAGAAATTCTCACATTAATCGGAGAAAAAGAAAAGGCAGAGTCCATATAGAAATACAATTTAAAAATAGCAGAAATTCGGAATAAAAAAAGGAATATTAGAAGAGGAAACTAAAGTCCATATAGAAATACAAGTAGAAAATAATAGAAATTCGGAATTAAAAATAAGGAATATTAGAAGTAGAGTATAGAGTCCATATAGAAATACAAGTAGAAAATAATAGAAATTCGGAATTAAAAAATAAGGAATATTAGAAGTAGAGTATAGAGTCCATATAGAAATTTCAAACTAACTAAAATTTAGAATAAACATAATAAAATTAAAAGTAGAGTTTTGAGTTCGTATAAAAATACAATTTACAAATAACTAAAATTCAAAATTAAAAAAAGCATGGGAAGAAGAGTTTAAAGTCAATATAGGAATACAATTTAGAAGTAACTGAAATTCGAAATT